CTTTGGGTTTAATGTGCCTTTGAAACATTCAATATGAGGTATTGGTTAGGTAGTTGTTTGGCTATATGGTCTGGAGCTCAGAGGAGAGTTCTGGCTGGCGAGAGGAATATAAGTAAGCCATATGGCAGTCATGCGACCTGTTCACCAACTGTCCCCAGCTCTCTGTCCTCTGGGCACACGGTAGGGTTGAACACACGAACCTGGATTTATCAGTCAGGGGATCATCACAAACAGAAACCACTTTCACATTTCAACACAGAGACTTTAATACAGGGAATTATTTATACAGATGTTGAAGCTGCTGAGAGACCAAATAGAGGTTGGGGAACAAACGAGGGAGAGTCTATTACATCCTCAGAAGACAAGAGTCAGAGGGGAAGTCGTTTTACCCGACCCCAGAAGCCACTTGTGGGAGCTGAAGCCACATTGTGCCTGTGTTCTAGCAGCTGAAATCACACAGAAGTCCCTGCTGCTGGAGATGCCCTCCAAATCTGAGAGAGAGACGGAATGCAAGAATCTAGCTTCCCCATTCCTCAGGCCCTGCATTCTTCCATCACTGTCTCCCAAAGGCTGGAGCTACCTCAAAACCAGAGAGCAAGAAAGCAAGGGAAACGCAATCCTTTGCAAACCAGAGCAAGGTTGAGAAGGTTGTGGAATGGACACAGGGCAGAGACAAAAGACAGGCACGGTGTGGTCATTCAGTAGCTCTGATCAGCATCTCAGTTGGGAGAGGAAGCAACGTGGCGCTTGGGAACAGAACATTTCATTACCAATGGGAGGTTCTCTACCAACCATGGCCTGAGAGTGAGGACAATGTGGAGCAGAGGCCCCAGCAGGCCCAGAGGAAGGGTAGCATTTAACCTGAGTGAGAAATAGATCTTTTTTTTCTTTTTTCTTTTAAGTCACTGAAATGTTTGGGATTTGGGAGTGTTTGCTACTTGCAGCATAACCTAGCCTATCCTGGGAGATATAAAAATTAGAGCTGGTAAGTGGGGTGATGCCCCCCTTTTTAGAGGGTTGGCTGGCAGTCACTGATGACACTGATATTGAAAGCTAGAAGAATTATAATCTAAATTATGTAGTGGGTACATATTATTTAAATCAGTTGTTAACAGTTTAATATGCAGATAATATTCCTTAGAACTATATAACTGTTTTCTATATATAATTCTTCGGTTTGCCATGTTTGCTACCCCATCTCACACTACTCTTTCTCTCAATTAACAGTAGGTATCATAGAACTTCTCCCTCTATAGATCCATGTCTGGTCCTCAGGTAGTAATTATCATACATTATCTAGAGATTTTGGACTCTTGGGTGGGATTTATGAATTCTCCTTTCAGAAATGAGTAAGTTTATTTTTGCTTTCAGGCCAAATAGTTGAAGAGCAGAAAAGCTAACTGTGGTGGTCACCAAATATTTTTAGTCTCATTTTGATGGAGTCATATTAGTTTTGTCCAAAGAGTCCAAAGTCGAAATGACGGGTGTTACTTCCACATGGGATCATGGAATAGCTGGTGTAAAAACTCTAGAACTTTCTTTCCCTATGAAACAGAGACCAGCAACATTTCAGATACAAGTTAGCCCATTAGTCTAGGTCTCACAGGAAACATAACATGAATAAGAAAAAGCCTGTATTGTTTTAACCCATTGAGATTTGGGGTTGTTCATTACGATTATAAGCTACTTCATCCCGAATTGTACAAGTGGTAATTAAAGCCAGGCATGTAAAGTGAATGGGACTGCCTAGAAAGCAAAGAGATTGTGTCCTAGGAGAATTCACCTTCAACAGAAGCAGAGAATGAAAAGAGAGGAGAAAACTTAGAAGAATTTGCTGCCTCAGAAGCACTCTAAGAAAGTGCTTAAAGGAAAGAATGATTGTGTCTGTTACTGCTAAGAAATCAGCTTTCAAAGATGAATGAAAACTTCCACTGCAGTTAGCTAGAGATGTTCTTGGTGATCTCAGCAAGATGTCTTTCATCAAATGGAAACAAAGGCCAAAATAGTATGGCGTGAGGATTGAGTGGGAGTTGGAGGAAGTGAGAGAATATGAGCAACTCCTTTGGAAAGCCTGGAGGAAGGAGAGATTGAGGGCAATGAGAGACAGCCCCAAAACAAGCATCTTCAAAAGACATTTTTTTCCAGACTCATGCCCAACACACTTCATTCTAATGGAATAAAGTATCATATAAACTACAACTATTTGGAATTCTAGTTGCTGAGGTGAAATAACTATCACTTTTAATGCAAAATCTAAAGCACCTTATATTTGTGATTCTCTAAAAAACCTGCTCTTTATTTGATGTTTTTCAATAAAGAGAAATACGTGCACCTGCAAGTTTACAGCTAAATTTAATTGCACGGGATACTTGCAGATTGTAGCATTATTACTTAGACCTTTCCATATGCTTGCATCATGATCAAATTGGTTCTATCAGAAAGAAATGTGTTTCTAGATAGAACACATAGTTTATATATGGAAAAGGCTGCACTGATCCCATGTTACAAAAAATGTTACTATATAAAAGTATTTTTTAGTCTTTTCACTTTTATAATCCCAGTGACTAATGCAGTGCCTAGAATATCCATTACACACCCTGTCACTATTTTCTGATGACATCCTTTCAGTCAAAAAGTATAATTGCCAATGAGCTAATTAGTTACTGATGAAATAGCTAATTCCCAAAACTTCAGATGTCTTGTTCAAATAATTTTTTGCAGCCCTACAAAATAAAAGCCATTATCAAAATTAAAGATTCAGACTGAATGTACAGACTTTAAGTCCTAGTACGCCTCTGTGTACACATATGCATTTAAAGGCAGCAAGGGAAATACTTCAAATGAAAAACAACTTTTCATCAGATGCCTCAAATGTGCCAAATCAGTGTTAGGTGGATTATATATTTTAGCTCAGATCCTTTCAATACACTTAAGTGGTAAGTGTTATAATTCCTATTCTACACACAAATAAAGTGTACTAGTTGAAGTCCATACAGGTAGCAGGTGACCAAACCTGGACACTAACCAAGCCCCATATGCCACCAACAATGCTGCACAAAATATTGTGAATATTTTTCATTACAAATGCAAGTATTCAACCTCCAGATTGGCAAGCGAACAGGCATAGTGTTTCATTCAGTTTTGTGAAAACTGTAGCATTTTTTAGGAGTATTTTACCTAGAGCTAGATGGTGGAGATTCCTTTTAGAGTCTGACAAAGATTGTTATTAAGGCCTTGAAGTGGAACTTGATTATGTACCATTGGCAAAGAAACTCTACAATTGAAAAGTCTTATTTTCTAAAATGTATCACCTATTTATTTCAATGGGCCTTTTGAGTTCTCGCACAGTGGGTAAAATAACAATAGTGAAAATTATTTTAAACAATTTTTACAGTGAGATAAATTAATGAGGGTGGAAAATCCTTTATCTTTTTGTTAATATTTATTCTTATCCTTCTATTACGTGCTTTCAAATTTACCATTTCCTGAGTGAATTTAAATGTGAGATGATTGGTCTCACATCTGTATATAGGACATATTCCAGATACTTATTTTCCTCCCATCCCAACTAATATCAAATAATAATTTAATCTAAAAATAGATCATGCCTACAATGTGGTTTACATCCTAGCTTTGTCAATAACTCTTTCTCACCATAGGTAGGATTATAAAAAATATACAGATCATATTTTTCTAAAGAAGGCTAATGGGAGACATTTCTTGTGAAATTCCAAAATTTGAAGTGCCCTCAAATGGTTGTACACTGTTATTGTTACATGGATGATATTCATTATCATTCATTCTGTAGAGATCATATGTAGATAGCCACAATTTTAAGCAACAACCAATAGGCACCTTGATAAGGGAGAAAGGAAAGTGCTTTTAAAATTAGAAAATGTGGATTTAAAGTACTGATAACGTATAAATGTGATTGTTTTTGACAAGACATAGAGCCCCTCTAAGTTTTATTTCCCTATTTTCACAAATTAAATAATGATACCTAATTCAAGGAGTCATGATGAGAATAAAATGGAAAAAGCCCCTTGCAACCTGCAGTGTCAACTTTGATAAATATGTGATGTATTATAACATGACAGATATTGTACAAACAAAGGGTAGTTCCTGTAATGGATAGTTGTTGCTATGTTTTGTTGAAGTAGTTGTTTGCTGGCCAAAGAAAGCATTAATTTTTTTGTCCATGCTCAAACTGATGTTGTTCTACAAAGTATGAAGTAAAAGTATAATAAAATCTCAGCTTTTCAAATAAATAAAGGAAATTCAAAGCACAAATCCAGAAAGAATTTAAATTTACTTTTGACATATACTAATAAACTTTAATACTGTTATGGTTATGAGTTCTGTAAATACACATTAATGTGGATGGCCTTGGAGGATATGGAGATTGATTCTGGGACAAAAACGAAAAAGGTGTATGGTGTTTATAGGTACCAGAGGAATAGTTATGCTAGAATGAGAGGCATTAGAAGTTGAATTCAGTGAAGGGCCTATTTGACTTCAGTACCTCAAGATGAAGACACTTTGAAATACATGACTGTAAAACCTAAAAGGGAGTATTAATAATTACCTAAAAGCCCAGAAATAGCCCTGGTTGGTGTGGCTCAGTTGGTTGAGCACCATACCATGTACCAAAAGGCCACCGGTTCCATTCCTGGTCAAGGCACCTGCCCAGGTATCGAGTTCACTCCCTGGTGGCAACTGATAGATGTTTCTCTCTCACATTGATGTTTCTCTTTCTCTCTCTCCCTTCCACTCTCTCTAAAATCAATAAAAACATACTTTTAAAACCCACAAATAATACTGTTTCCTTGTAACTGTTTCCTTATAAATTATAAAAATTATTTCAAAGAAAATCATTTTATTATTTGAGAATATGGGATTCCAGCCTATGAACAGCTGTTTATAATTCACAGACTCCCAAATTCTGCAAACATAAATGCACAATGTAAATAAAAAGAAACATTATATTATTCTTTACTTACTCCAGCTTTGTCCATAATATCCTTTTCTGTCTCTGGCAAGGCCATTCATATAATAAAGAATGCAAAAGGGAGGGAGTTAACATGCAGAAAATATCCTCTAGTCAAAAGCATTCCTTAATGTTTAAAATGAGTAACTCTAGTTTTATTAGATAATTAAGGTGATATAATTATATACTTAAAACGACAAATGAAGTAATATGTCCAATTTTCCTAAGGCTACTAAGGTCTTTATTAAAAGCTGAAAATAATTCTGATCACTTTCTACTAGAGTAAACTGCATTAATTTTTATGTTGTTGTCTGGAATGTTAGAATATATGGGTGTTATCTGGGACAAGGGGGAAGGTCCTGCAGCTAACCACATGTCTAGATGCATTTTCTTTTCCAAGTATTCACCTTGTATTTTTAGTGTGTCAATCCCAAATGATCAACAATATTTTCAGTTAAGCCTTGCTTAGAAATTTCACTGGAGAAAATTGCAAAGGGTTAGGAGTGAAATGCTGCCTCCTTGGGGGTCTAGAAGAAAGCTATAACAATTGGGTGAAAATCAATACTAATGGTTTCCTTCATTGTTTATCCTAATTTGAAACATAAAGTATTTATGTTTTAAATATCTGCAATACTCTTCTGAGATAAAACTTTAAATCATAAGGATGGCTTTTGTTTACTTTGATACAATATGTTATAGACTTATTGAGGATGTATGACCAAGGCACGGTTGATATATAGGTAAGAAACAACAGTGAGCAAGATTTGCCCAGCCCCTGATACCACAGAACTTTCAGGCCATAAAGAATCAGTTAGTCTGGTCAATTCAGTCCAAACAAATCAACTGGTGTAGGATAATTGAAGTTCACAAAGGAAAATGCACACTATACAAGAGAAGTCCCATTACTGTTAGTGTCAAGATCCCATTGAACCTATTCAGCTGCCAAATGCATTCCTTGAACTAATGCACATAAGCAGGTTCATTTGCATCTTAGTTTTATTTGTAAATAGCCATTCATACTTTAAAATAAAATTATATCAATGAAGAAAAATCTTAAGTAAGAAGAAGTTCTAAATCCTACTTTGTAAACATTCCCAAAGAAGAATTATGCAAATTAAAATGGAAAATGCTAGTGCTTAGAGTCACCTAAATGATGAGATTTCATGAAAAATAAGTTGCCAATGAATGTCAGAAAAACCACCATCTCCTGTGTACCAGTAAGAGAAGAAACAAAATGCTGCTGATTAGATTTTCAGATTAAATCCTGATCTGAGAAATGTTAAATGTTTACTTAGAATCAGTGAACTTTGGTAGTTTTTCGTTTGTGCACTCTCTTCATACAGAAAATCTAAAAGTTGATCCCAATATAAGCTCAAAAGTAAGTTCATTCAGTGATTCAAACTTAGCCTAGCTCCATAAATTAGAAAATTATTAAGCATTATTAATTTACGTATAAAATTCCAGAGAACAGACTATTGGTAAGTATAACCACAACTGTGTTATGACTTATTAATTCTTAAAAAAACATCAGCCTAAATAACTAAATGAAGCATGGTCATTGATGGGGCTGACTGGTTAGCTAAAATATTCAAAAATAAATATGACTTAAGGAGATCAGCCTCACCAAAATGGCTACTGGGGTTTCACCACAGAAGTGAAGCAGTTACTGTTATAATTAAAGGAAGAAAGATTGTTGAGCCAGTCCTAGAAGTTGATTTTTGTCAAATGGTTACAGTATTATAAAAGTCAAATATTCCAACAGTACATTGTTTAGGTGGTAGAAAGGTAACTAGTTTGATATTTAAAATCATAACTTTCTTTATTCCAACCAGTTTGCCAGTCCTCCAAAGTAAAAAGCTCTGCTATTTGTGATTTTGTTTAGTTTAGTTTTGTTCCTCATTTTGGAGACAAGAAAAGAGCCTTTGGGGACCCATGAAATGTCTCATTTTAAAATGGTAACATAGTTAATAGTTATGCTTATCAATGTGAGATTAACTTAGAAATTAAATTAAAACCACAAATTTAAAACTTGCAGTTCTTTTCAAAGCTTAAGATTTAATCAGTATTAAATAATTAAAATCATCACAAAATTATTAAAACCCTACTAAAATCCTATGGAGTGTTAGGTACATAGCTCATAGTGGAGCACCATAAAGTAAATAAAACATGATCCCTATCCTCAAGAATAATCCCAAATTTATGGACTGGTCAACAGCCACATATCTGGCATTACATACCATTTATACCAATAATTTGGCTTCTAAAAATTCACACACAAATAAAAGAAATCAGTTTGCTTGCTGTTTTCTGAGTAGACTAGGGAGTGTTAGAATTCAACTTAGTTTACAACAAAACAGTACAGACACAGTTGTAACACAATAAAAAAAACATCAGGAATTTTACAGTATCTTAGAGCATAAATTGAGAAGAAGCAGTGCTATTTCTGTGCCTTGCAAGGTATTGGGAATATCTAACAGGATGAAGAATGTCCACAAATCAATCTACATATGACAACTTACCCTTTCATTTCTTCAAAGTCAGAAGGAATTAAGAAAGTGCTAAAAATCACTTTCATCAGATAGTGGGTAGAATATTGTGAACACTGAATTTGGACGTAAATACGTGGAACGCATGACCCAGAGCTACCATTTATTGTGAAAATTCACTTAATTTTTCAAGTCTTAGTTGCCCCTAAAAAAAGGGTGACAATGAAATAAAATATTATATGCAAAAGTAGTTTTTAAATTATATAACGAATAGCAGGTACTGCTTTTCCATGAGTAAATATACTTGTCAATAAAGAAATCTACAAAGTCCTCAGGAGAGGGGTATATATTTTGTTTCTTTCTGCATTTTTTCGGCCTTAAAGGAGTTGTCATCCTGTGGTAGACAGAACAATGGCCCCTGAATCGCCCATGCCCAAATCCCCATAAACTATGAATGTGTTACCTTCCATGGCAAGAAGGACTTGAAAGGTGTAATTAAGTTATGAATTTGAGGTTATCCTAGATTATCTGGGTGAGCTCACAAGGGTCATTATATGTAAAAAAGGGAGGCAAGAGAAGTAGAGAAGTAGATGTGAGGATGGAAGCAGAAGTCAGTGATGTGTTTGCTGGCTTTGAAGATGGAAGGCGGGGTACAAGCCAAAGAATGTGGGTGACTTCTAGAAGCTGGAAAGGACATAGATTCTTCCCTAGAGCTTCCAGAAAAGAATGCAGCCTTACCAACACCTTGACTTTAACTCAGTGAGACTTGTGTCATACTTCTGCCTTCTGGAATAGTCAAATAATAAATTTGTGTTATTTTACCCCATTAGTCATGGGATAATTTGTTACAGCAGCCCTAGGTAACTAATACACACGTCAAGGAAAAGTGCCCAGTCGGATTCTAGCCCACTGGGCTGTAACCACAGAGCTGTGTGATTTTAAGCCAGTCTCTCCCTATTTCAACTACGGATGTGGGATTAAGGTGATCTCTTAAGGCTCCTCCATCTGAAAAATACTATAATTAAACACACTAAATTCTTCGTTCTTTCTATTTTCCCATCTTTCATGCTTCCTCCCCTCCTTGGATTAAAAAAGCTATTTCCTCTCTTGTATTTTATGCTTTAGGGAGAAGGTAATTCCTTGGGCTAGCTGGTCTGGTAGAAGCTGCTGAGGAATAATGAGGCCCACTTACCCTGACAAGCCATGTCAGCTGCTTTCCTTCACTGACAGTAAGTAGGGAGCTTCTCTTGCCCACTCCAATTTTCCCTGAGTCTATTTTCCAGACTTCAAAATACACAGGCAGAAGTTACACAGAAATCCAATATGAACTCAAGGTCCCTAGACAGTAGTTAGTTTCCTGGGCAATTATATGTAAAAATGTCCTCATCAAGATGATTCCTTTAAAGATTGTCTTCAGCACTAGATTTTAAAAATTCATGATTTGTCATCCCCAATTATAAGCAGGGAATTTATAAATATCTGTGGTTTCTATGGATAAGGCGACACACTCACAGTACATTTGACCTCAAACCAGAAGGGTCAACTAAACTATATATAACAATAGCTGCAGCTAAAAAGTATATTTGCACTTTTTTCACTGCTAAATTATAACAATTTTAACAAGAGTCTCGAATTCCATGAAGGAGATGCCTGGAGTGTGAAGAACTTAATTTCTTAAACATCAGACTTTGTCACAATAACAAACTGGGGGATTATTCAATATTTAAAAATAATACCTTGAAGTTTTTATTTTCAAATAGTAAGGAAACATTATATTGCCATACAAGTACTCATACCTTTATGAAAAAAAGCTGCAAAATTTCTACAGTTAGGGTGACCCAGCAATTCCACTGTAAGGTATTTATCCAAAAAAATGGAAAACAAGTATTTGGATAATTGTACATTAATGTTCATAACATCACTATTCACAATAGACAAAAAGTGGAAAGTTAAATGTCTGTCAACAAATGAATGGATAAACAAAATATGGAATACCTATATAATGGAATACTATTCAACCATAAAGTTACAACATGGATGAACCTCAAAAACATGCTAAGTAAAATAATCCAGGGACAAAAAGTCATGTATTGTATGATTTAACATATAAAATCCAGAATAAGTAAATCCATAGAGACTGAAAGCAGATTAGTAGTTACTAGGGACTAGGGGGAGGGAAATGGGGAATGACTTAATGCATACAGGTTTTCCTTTTGGGGTGATGAAAATATTTTGGAACTAAAGTTGATGGTTGCATAACACTGCAACTGTTCTAAATGACACTAAATTGTACATTTTTAAATGGTTAATTTTATATAATGTGAATTTCACTTCAATTTTAAAACAAAGTTCTACGGTTAGACAGAACTGAATTCCCTTTTGGCCCTGCCACTTACAATGTGGCCTTTGGCAAGCGACTTAAACTCTCCAACATGAAGACTAATGGAGAGAAACCTCATTTAACTTGGAGTTGGGAAGACCAGTATGGGTAACTCTCATACTCTACCACTCATCCTCAGTTACTCCAAACAGAAAGAGAGTACTTTACGTCTCCAAAAG